GTAGTAGTAGTAGTAGTAGGAGGTCGTCGTAGTAGTATCCTGTGACCAATTCAGGAAGAAGCTGGCGGCTCCCTCTGAGGACGAGTCCATAAACCAGGCTGCAATAACGGAGAAAGGAACCACCTGGTGTGTATCGGCAGGTTCACACGGAATCAGACATGTCACGAATGCTGCGTGCTCGTTCGTGTGTGAGTGTGTGTGCGTGCGCATGGATGCTGAGAGACTACCACGGTTTGACTACAGTCCAGACAACATGTCATCATTTGGGTGGGTGTGAGCTTGGGTGGGGGCTCGTGTGTTGTTGTGGATGTGCGTGTGGCGATGTGCCCTGCGCACACACGCACGTAGATGTCGGACATCTTATGCTCAGTCGCATGCCAAGAGAGAGATCTGGGTCGCGGAACCAACCTCGGCCGAAGTCGCCGATTCCACGCAATGTGACTCGAGAAGGCAGACTTTACCTTTAGCTTCCCTCACGAAGGCACAAAGCACGTCTACGTTGCCGTCACTCAATCGATGCTGGACATGACCAACACCCATGCTGGACTGGTTGAGCCATGGGCTGCGATGCCAATGGCAAGCCCGGGCCGATCCTGAAGTTCAAAAGGCGGTTTCGAGTTCGAGTCTTGCAGTAAACAGTTGAGTGCTTGGGGTTTTGCCACTTGCCGCCCTCTCAATTAGGATTTTGTGGGCCCCGCGAACCCTTAATAGGGCATTCTCTCCCCACCCCTGCTGTCTAAAATGAGTCCTCCAAGGTCTCTCGTGAGTGCCAGGGCAGCTCTTTAAACTGCTCGGGGAAGCCGGCGAATGCAAGCTAACGGGCTTTACAAGCTAGAAGGAGCCCGCAAACTCGGATCAGCGTATCCAATTCGAGTGTGGCACTAGCTTGGGCGAAGGAAGCTTGGCATAGCTCTTTGATGTCAGCTGTCGGATGCTGCGTTTTGCCTGATTCTGGGCATCATTGGCCACAGAACACCGAGGACTACAGTAAACCAAGCAAAGTAAAAGACCCTTCTAGATTCTGCTATATGCTCAGTAGTAGCCATGCTCCATGAAGTTGGTGGTGCCTCCAAAGGCAAGATTGCCCCACGATACAAAGGAGCCATCTACTCTCGCAGCAGCGAAGGCGCGCATCGAGGCATCTAACCGATGAATGTCGTGCAACTGCTCCTGTACTGCGCAGCTGTCTCCGCCATACTCCGCGCTACCCCATGTCACGACACTTCCGTCACTTTTGAGGGCGGCAAACGCTCGCAGTGAAGGGCAAAGCTGCTGCACGTTGACCAGAAGGTCAGCGGCAGCAGAGCTGTCACCCCCGTGCTCTGCGCTCCCCCAAGTCACAACTGTTCTATCCCTTCTCAGAGCAGCGAATGCTCCACCTGTGGCTACAATATGTTGGACACCATGCAGCTGACTGTGGACAGCCCGACTGTCGCCTCCGTAGGCATTGTCACCCCAGGTCACAACAGTCCCATCAGCTCTCAATGCTGCGAAGGCAAAAGCATTTGCATGGATTGTTTTCACATCTGCTAGCTGTTCACGGACAGCCTCGCAGTTGCCACCACAGCTGGAAGCCCCCCATGTTACCACGTCTCCTGCTGACCGGATCGCCGCAAACGCATGGGTGGATGCTATGACCTGCTGCACGTCGTTGAGCTGGTGTTGCACAGCTTCACTGTCGCCGCCCACAATGGCATCGAAGTCTGGCCATAGCTTGCAACACCAGGTTGCCACTGTTCCATCCGCTTTGATGGCTGCGAAAGCCCTAGAGGCTCCAACAATCTCCGTAACATCTGTCAGCAACTCCCGGACCGTGTCACTGTTGCCACCACAGGACAGAGAACCCCAAGTAATTACGGTCCCATCGTACTTCACCGCGGCGAAAGCACCAGTGGTAGAAAAAACACATCGCACATCTTGGAGTTGGAAATTGATATCCTCCGTATCGCCGCCATATGCTCCGCTACCCCAAGCAATCACGGATCCATCTCGCCGAAGAGCTGCGAATGCTTTGTATGTCGCCTGCACGGAGCAAACATCCTCAAGCATGGCTTCTACGGCTGTGCTGTCCCCACCGCAGTCGGGATTGCCCCATGTCACGACCTTGCCATCGCCACAGATGGCAGCAAAGGCACCAACAGTGGCCTGCGTGGACTAGTGACAGCTATACCGTGATTCGGGTCGTAGCTTTGTGGAATTATGATGAATTATGGAAACATATCTGGTCTTTCATGGGGGCACCTTAACGTCCTGGACGTCCTGAAGCTTTTCTTTCACAGACAGGCTGTCACCGCCATTGGAGCCATGGCCCCACGTCGTCACCCTGCCATCTGTACCGATGGCAGCAAAAGACCTCCCGAGCTTGTGGGCAAAGACCTGATGCCGGGTGGCGGGAAGTTGTTGTGGGTCCTTCGTGGTACTTCATGATACAGGAGCAAGGTAAATCCTCGCTGGCTAAGGTACATGTATCGCACCCGAGTCGCCTAGATTAGTTTGGCAACGTGTGGATTGTCCCGATATACAAGTCACAGAGGAGTACGCACGTGCTCACGCCTCAGCCTCTCGGACGATGGCGGAAACAACGTCACCGTCTTCGATTCCTTCTTCTGCCAAACTTCTGAAGGCCTGCAGGACTTCTCCTGTCGAAGTCACTAGAGCACCTGAAGTAGCAGCAGGCAGAGGGAAGGCTGTGACTGTCTACCCACATGCCGTCTCAGAAACGGTAGGTCGGCAACCGCTTACTCCTGAAAACTGATGAAGTTATTTATCCCAACCTGAAGCTTACTGATTTACTGGCCGGCCCTGCCCTGTTGTCCCAGTTGCGGATGCCGCGCCCCAAAGCAGACTGTGCCGCACGACGCAAGGCGGAGATCAACGCGTGTCGTGGCAGAGACACGCTCGCCCGGCCGCCGCTCAGAATGCACACCGTCACCGTGATGGCCATGGCTCTAAGACATATACCAGACTCAGAAGGACGCTTCGGGACCTGGGTACAAAAGACGTACGTGCGAAGTGGAGACTGTCAGGCATGTCTAGCCGTGTGATCATAAGCATAATCACGGGCTGCCTCTCACCGCATGCATGGCCAATGCTTACAGCTGTGGGCCATTTCGGCGGTCATTTGCAATCAGGCGACGCCGAAGGCTCTTCAAGAAATTTCCTCGTGGCATCGCAAATGGTAGCAATGTCCTGCATGGCAAATCGGATGGCGCTTGCCTCGGCTTGCATGCAACTACCCCAGAAACATCAGTACCAGCACAATCACCACCGCCACCACCACCAGTGATCATCCTCTACAATAAGACAACCGATATTGAACATTGCTAATTTGGAGTACTTCGACTGAGTACATGAGTACTGCTGCAGTTACAGCGGCAACAGCCACAGCAACAGCAGCAGCACGAGCTGCAGAAGTTCAGGACCCTGAACGAATGGGAGTGTGGTGAATCAGAGATAGTAAAGACATGAGAGCGGCAGCAGCAGTAGTAGCAGAGTACTGATAATAGAGAAGGCGGTGGCACTGCCACTCCTACTACGATGACTTCTGAAATGCACTCTTACAGTACTCTTGGTCTTGCGAATTGGATTGTGGGTCGCTTCTTGGTTATAGCCTTGACATGGCTGCGTGGGGTGCCGCCTTGGAAAAGCACAAGTAAGGTGGATTCAGCTTCTCAGCGAGACTAAAATCTGTCAACCCTCCAAGGCCAAACTTTACGCAGTCGCTTGCGTACTAGCCAAGCAAGGGCCCACAGGTCAGGTCTCCGCAGCAAGCTATAAATCACTGAGTTGGACATCGTTGAACCCTCGCAACATGCTCTCTTCTCGAGAACAGATTCCATCAACAAACTTTCTATAGGGTTCTGGACTGTTGAAGAGTTAAGACGATATTCTAGCCCAGCCACGTCTGGGAAAAAAACGTGTTTGCACAAGGATTTCATGCTTTCTTGATAGATGAGCCACGTTTCATGCCGTGACACGTAGGGTTCTTGGCTCTAAAGTATGTCTTGGCCAAAGTCTATCTACATCAGGAATCAGGAGAGCTGCGAGGTGTACAAGTTGCTGTAGAAGCAGTCTGGCAGGCCACGCAACACGTTGCAAACATGAGGCCTGCAGTCCGACACGACCGGTGCAGAAGGCAGAGAAAGGTTTATGGCTGAGAAAGGGAAGTTGTACAAATCCGAAACGCCGACAGCAGCAGTACAAAAACAGCAGCAACAGCAACAGCAAAGACACCAACACCGAAACAGTATCAGTAAGGAACACGAAACGGCAAAGCGGGGCAACTGGGGCCTGGAGAAGGCCGTGATGTTGTTGGCACAATCCCAAGCTTGACTTTTTGCTAGTTGCCCGTTTTGGGGCGCGCCTGTCCTGAACAGTCTTTCATCATCCGAGGGTATCCAGTGATTCTGCAGCTTTTCGTTGTTTGGTGCGTCTGTCGTTCACTTCATGTGCTTGTTTCCAAGTTTTTTGTGAGAGGGCATGGCTGGCTTGCCGTGGCATGACGACTCAGAGTTCACTGCTGTTTCGCAACTGTCAAATCCGGATGCGGCACGATCATGCACAGGCAGGTCATGTGCACCACATCAAGCACTTTGCCTGCATTGCATTCAGAGCTGGGACTCTGGCATGTTCGCAAGCGTTGCCAGCGATCGGCAGAAGGACGACTCCAATGAAGCCTCATACATCGACAGCCATCGACAAGGTACCACCGAACCCCTCTTTGCCCGCCAAACTCGAGTCCACAATCATACGTAGTAAGTCCATGTCCCAGTCGGCTCTGGTTCAGGAACCCAGGGATGCACTTGAGCCTCTCCGAAAAGCTCGTGGCCTTGATCCCACCCTCATTTCTGAATCGTAGAGATCGAAACCCCTAAACTCTCTAGATGCTAAAACCGAACAGAAGCACTGGACACGCCGTCACACCAAACCCAAAACCCTAACACCCAAACCCGAAGACCTTTTCATCAGAGGTCTGCATCCTTAGGCTCTCTGAGCTCAGTAGCTCTCGGGGAGGCCGTTTGACCGCACCACCTAGCGGAGTATTTGGGCTTGGACTGGACTCACAACGGTTTGGGCTTTTAGATGTTGCCACCTGGCCTTGTCAGGGTTTGCGGTCACTGGGAGATGATACTTCAAGCTCCGTTTTGAGGCTGAGGGGCTCAGGGCTTCAGGGTTCCGGCTTTGCGGTTTCGACTCGCGCACTCGCGGAAGGCAGGCATGGCTTCACGACTTTCGGGTTTAGGGTCCAAGGCTCGCAGGAGTATGTGCTTGCTGCTGGTGGTGATAGTGGAGGCTACTGGTGCTTTGCTGCTTTACTTGTTGCTGTTATTCTTAGGCATTGCTGCAGTTGCCGTTGCCGTTGCTTGTGGTGGCGGTGGCAGTGGTGTTGCCGTTGCTGGTGCTGTTGCTGCTGGTGCTGTTGCTGGTGGCTGGGGGCTGTTGCTGTTGCTGTTGTTGTTGTTTTCGTTGTTGCTGTCGTTGTCGTTGTGGTTGTGGTTGTGGTTGTTGTTGTTTTTGTCGTTGTTGCTGCTGCTGTGGTTGTGATTGGTTGTTGGTGGTTGGTGGTTGGTCGTCGGTCTTCGGTCGTCGGCGTCGTGGCTGACAGCGGGTGCTGATGCTGCCGTGGAGGGTTCGTCGATTTCGGCAGGTTGCGGCCTAGGCTTAGACCATGAGTTTTTGCGAGGCGGTGTTTACGATGAATCTTGCGTGACTGTAGATGATCGAGTACTTTCACGCAGGGCCTTATTCAATCGGTATTTACAGTATTTCGCGCCTGTAGCGTTGACTTTTCTTTGCTTGGAACTCGGTCGCTCTTCTCGTCTGCCAAGCATGCTATGCATGCACGTCCATGTGCCCAGCCTGTCGTTTTGCCTCTCTCTTGTCAGGGTGGGGGAGGGAGGAATTGGGGGCCCGTAATGACGTCCAACGTACCAGTGTGGATTACATATGTCATTTTGCTTCCATGCACGGGTGTATTGATGGGTATTGATGGGGGGAATGACGTCCGGGGAATGACGTCCGTGGCAGTGCGGATTTCAGCGCATGTTGCGGGGAATGGGGAAAGGGGAGGGGTGGTGATGACTTCCGAGCCTCCTGCGGCGTGATGCAGGCATACAGTCTCCTCAACTCGCGGCCGCATCTGCTTTTTGCTGCGTGCCCCAGGTGTAATATTTATTGTGCCGAGTTGTGGTTTTGTTTGTGGGTTTGGGCTCGGAGTCCTATGCAAAGTTAGGCTGCTAGGGTATGGGGTTTAGCAGCAGCAGCAGCAGCTGCAGCAGCAGCAGCAGGAGCAGCAGCAGCAGCAGCAGCAGCAGCAGCAGCAGCAGCAGCAGCAGCAGCAGCAGCAGCAGCGGCAGCAGCAACAGCAACAGCAACAACAGCAACAGGCACCAACACCAACACCAACAACAACAACAACAACAACAACAACAACAACAACAAACAACAAACAACAAACAACAAAAACAACAAAAACAACAAAAACAACAAAAACAA